CTTCCCATCGGAAGATGTTTGTTTGTTTTGTATTTAACGTGGGGGGTAGCTCCTCAGTAGTGCAAACCACGCCTCCCAGAGCCATTGCATCGCAAGGTTGTAGAGGTGTCAAGTTAGATACATTCAGATCCGCGCACGAGCCTATCCTCGCTGTAGCGGTACCAATCTGTAGTGTTCAGATGGTTTTAGTCAATACCCAAACACGATTCCGTCAGAAAAACCTCCTATCTAGTGACAAAGCGACCCAGTGAACCTCAGTTCTCTGGTGTACATATCGTTCCAGTAGCCGTTCGATATATGTCGCATTGGTGAGTGGAGTAGGTGTTTGTTATCTGCTGGCGAGGGAAACCACAAGGGGGAAAACCTCGCAGGAGTGGGTATTGTGGAGACAAGCTGCTTGGCTATCGGGCTCTGCGATAAATGGGGCCTCTCCACTGTCGTGTGCTGGTTATCGACTCGCACAAGCCGGGTCAGAAAGGGGGCCATAGCAGGATTCGAACCCACTTGTTCTCGTCGCCCACCGCACAAACGAGAACACAACCAGGCGCATTTGACCATTGCGCCATACGGCCTCCCATCGGAAGATAATATCCCTGTTTCCTCATCCTCTCTGGAAGCCTACTTTGTAACAACACTCCCAGTACATCCGCAGTGACCATATCGACTTTACAGCCCGAGGTTGGGGATTGCTCTGCGGGATGTACAAAAGCCTTCACCAAATTCATACAAGCCTTTCTTGGCAACGATCCTCCAGGTTGGGAGCTAAGCACTCCATGCGTTCGAGCAGCCCAGGTCATATGCATGCTCATGATTCGGGGCCATCCCTTGTCACAGTCGACTTCGTGTGCTGAGGAATGTAACCTGACCGCTCAGAGGGACAGCACGGATGCAATTAGGCGCGGATACTTATCGGGGGCTGTAGTCCTGTGACCGGTTGGGATGGCCGGATCTCATTGCCGTTTCTGTAAGTTTGGCGATCGTGACCTTGTTAGCAGCAGTGGCGCGTCGCCGAGGCTGGTTGCAAGACGGGTGATATCATCCACAAGGCCATGGCGGCGGGATTGACAGTGCCCCTGGGGGCTCGCCCGAGTGTAGGTGCGGGCCTGTGGCTACAAGGCGGCATTGGGCACCTGGCTAGGCTACACGGGCTCGCGTGTGATGCCATCATAGGTGCCGTGATCGTCAGCATCGACTCTGGTCAAGTTCTCTGTATCGGTTGCGTACCACTCGTTACTGCCCAGACGGTGCCATACGCCCGGCAAATGAATCCGATCTGTTATGGGCGATGAAAGGGGCTGGCACGAACTTTGGCATCGTGGTCAGTGTTACGTTTAAGGCCTTTCCAGCTCGAACCTATTCAGTTCGAAATTGGGTCCCAGCAGTGGGATGCCTTGGGAGACGCTGAAGATATGAGTTAAGCCTATCTGGAAGGGGATATTACAAGAATATAGGTCAAGACAATTCCAAAAATCCTGCAAGATCCTTCAAAACAACACTCAAAACCCTTCGCATCGTTACAAGAAGAACAGTTTAGACGCACACGACACGTCCTCTCATTGAAATCACAACAGTACATATATATAAGTAAAAGAGTACCTGTATAAGGCTGCTGCAGTATACCAAATAAAACTGCTTAGCCTTGACCGCAGGTACACCCCCCGTTGCTAATAGTGGTGATGATTTGAGCGTGCAAAGATTGATCATCTATCTTCTGGGTGGGTCAGATACCCTTGCGTCTCTGCGCCACTGGAGATCTTCCGGTGTCAACCTATACTTCCGGCTCCCATTCAACAACGGTCTCCCAAACTTGCAGCAATGGGGAGCAGTAGGGAGCAGTGGGGAGCAGTGGGGAGCAGCTATCTGACAGGTGCTGCCACCTGCCAGCCAGATGACAGCTGGCAGCCAGATTTGAAGAAGAAAAAAAGGCTCCAAACGACCCGTCTCTATTGTTATCAAGAGCCGCTCGGCACGGCACGGCACCCAGTCTTGTTGGCGAACCTGGAGATGGTTTTCAGTGAAGCGTTTGGTGAGCAGGTGAGTTAGATTTGGTAGCAAGAAACCAAATTCAATTGCCCACCACCCGTATTTGATAGACTGGTGCATGCTGCACCACCAGACACAGTAGTTAAATGCTAATATTTTATAGGGGGATACTCGCCCCCCACAAGCTACAAGCAGTAAAGAGGTCAAAAAGAGCAGATCAAATATGCTGTCTAGATTTACGAATCAAAAAGCATAAGCAAGATGCTCACGGTGCCCTTACTGACTAATTACGGTAGTTTTAATCAGGCCAAAGACTAACTACAAACTAGAAAAACCTAAATAGCAACAGTTCCCGGCTGTGCCTTGCTTTCTCGAAAAAAGTAAAGAATCGCTCTTCTCTGTGGGGCACCACTTCTGCGTTACATTCAAACTTATAAAGCTTACCGGGTGTCCCATTCATTCTTTGATTTAATCGAGAATACCGCTTTAAGAAGTAAAGTTGAAAAATTACCAGCTGAGTTGATGCTCATGGTAGAGGCGAAATTCACCATAGTGTCCCTGGGGCAACTTCTATTAAGCCATTTAGTGAGGCTCGATCCACATAAAGATATAGACAATCAGACCACGGATAAGGGAAGACAACGAGCTATCAGCCGTGCCTTCCACTTCTCATCCTATTTGACTTTTCTAGGTTTACAGCCGCGATTGTGCCTGGACGCATTTCTCAAGCATCGCTTCAGCTGTGTATGCCAATCGGACATATCTAACCAGAATCACCACCAACGCGTCCACGCGTTGTCAAAATGTGGTATGGTGAAGGAAAGAAAGCACTTCCTTTTTGAACGCGGGTATCGGCTTTCTATAGGCTTGTCGTGGTATTAGGCAAAGTCACCGTGTCCTGTTCGGGTAGTGAGGTGGCGAGTATTACGGTATTACATAATACCTCCACATATTTATGTACATATATATCTCTAGCTTCCCCTTTCTCTTCCGACATTGCCTCTTCTTCCTTAGATATCGTTGAATCTAGATATTTCAACCCATCAGCCCTGACCAGCGCAGCTGCAGGCCTGATTGTCACAGCGAGGTAGCGATGGTTCTTAATAAAGCGGATAATCGGGTTCATATTCGACTCGACTGTGATGTACTTGGCGGTATATCCATGCTCGATTTTGCGCATCTATCCCAGGCCATCTGCAACCATAGTGTATAGAGCTGGCGCCGCGGTCTTAAAGTCGCGAGGGACATCCCATTCGATTAGATCCTTTCCATTTACCTGTGCCGTGACCTCGACGCCGGGAAATGTGTCTATGGTAGGCCACTTCAATTGCCATCCTCGTAGAATACAGTCGTCATCACCTGTGTAAGGTTTTGACCACGCGTTCGCAAGCGTCCCGTGTCTCGGTCCTGATCACGCATAGTAGCAGTAAATATCGACTCTGTTGGATCCATGCGATTCCAGACTGCAAACCATCTATACCAGGACCCACATGTATGATTAGATAAGATAAGATAGTGGATTGAGAGGGCACTTGGCCAGACCTTCGAGTCCAGCTAGATTCCTCTCAATCCAACCATCAGCAACATCATGACCTTGACCCCATACTCGAGTATTATGATTGATCGTTCAAGCCTGTTCTAAAGTCATGTCTAAAGCTCTACAACGAGGTAAACGCTATAAGGAGCCCACCAGCTCCTCAAAACCTAGCCCCAGTACTGGCGGCACCCTCTCAGGAAGAAACAACACCCAGCCCCAACACCTGTGCCATGGACAGCATCATAGTGGCAAGTGTGAGTACACCCAAAATCAACCTCACAGACGGTGAATCCACGGCAGAGGAGGGGCCAGAGGAAGCCAACAACCTAGATAAGGAGGATACGGAGATGACCGGTCTACTCCCTCTCCTAGAAGAATCACAGCAGGGCACAGGATCCGCGAGGAGACCTCGCCGCCAGCAAAATCAAGTCGACTTTACTGGTAATAATGTCAGCTTAGCCTTTGAGTGCCACTCAGACCTCCGGGACTAGGCTCCCCCGGGTCCCTAACCAGGGACAAGGCGGTCAGGGGCACCACAGACAGAGGATCAAGCTCTAGGAATGCTTTGACACGAAGCCCAAGGTATGCACTCCCATTCGACGTTACCCTTCTTCATTTCGCGCATGGCGCCATATGATACGAGCTAACTCATCCCCGGGTCAACTGGGAGAAGCTTGCTGCCAGAGCCGGCTTCAAGGACGCTGCCGGAAACATTCCTCAAGCCCAACGGCCCCAATACCTCCCCGACCACCCGAGGGAAATCCCACGACATCGAGCACCGTCTCGTGCGAGCCGATGCCTGGCATGACGTCAAAAGGGAAGAGAGTAGCTATACTGATAGCTCTTTCGCCAACGACATATACGATATGGAGGACGGTGAGGTCTGATGCATACTCGGGAAATGCTCGCACATCATCCAGGAACGGATTCATAGTTTGATAGCCCAATCAGGAAATGCATACGATCATTTGGATCGGAGACGGGGCAAGAAAATACATTTGGGTTTCCCAGTGCGCTTATATTCACCACTTTCCCTATCTTTTCGTTCGTTATTCGCTCTCGGGTTGCGATAGGCTAAATGCGAAAATTACTGTTGATGTGAAGATGCGGGCGCTGGAGTCGGTCAGGTAGCGGAAGGGAACGTTGCTACACTAACCCACCATAAGTCTCCGAGCATCCCCGCGTTTACACCAAAAGGCCTTCCCTTTACGCTTTTCGGCCTTCGTCGCCTCAAATGCCTCCTCATCTGCACTAACGCCCTCCGGTGGGCTCCCATGACAGATGACACACATTTCCGCCGCAACCAGTTTTAATGTACGCTTCGTGAAAGAACCGAGGCTTAGGTAACAAGAGCGTTCTTTCAAAACTTGTATTACCATCGATAGGGGCAGGTCCGGAGCATTCGAACCTCTTGGATATACAGCAAGTGCATGCATGGACCAGAGTTGGAACTGATCTTCTTGCCTAACAGACCTTAACTTCATGACTCATCCAGGAAATCCCCATCACACAAGATATCCCCTGCCAGCATCCTCCCTACATGTGTTTTACTGATATCCTGCCGATTACGACGAACATTGGCCATAACAAAGTGAAGAAAAGCGGTCGGGCTCCGCGTAAAGCCGCAGTCTGGGTACACTGCGCTCTGGCCAACGAAACCGTCCTCGCCAAGGTCAGAGCTGCTGTTGTTGGGAACAACCGAGAGACCCAGGTAGGCGCAGGCGTGCCTGTACTCGTGCATAGACTGGAAGTATAGCTGGCCCGCGAACAGGTTAAGGTGCATCACCTCTGTGCGGGGAGCAGTCCAGGGCGACGACTCGGGCGGCGTGACGTTGAGGCTCAGGTGTTGCAGTGAAGGGAGAGACAGCGTGTGACGGGAAGCGTAGACACGCAGTCTAACGTGGCTGCTCTTCTCAATGCGCGGGAGGAGCTCATTCGCCTCGTAGGGGCTGAGCACTACCAGAATGCTTAAAGATTCAAGGGACAGGATCTATTGCACCGGCCGATAGAATACGTCCCTGTCAGACCCAGAAGGAAGAACGACGGTTCGGGAAAAGTCGGCTGTCACGAGCAACTGGCGTCCAAAGTGATCGAGTCGAATTGAGTGGGCCATGCTACTACGTTCGAAGGTGCGGAAGGCTGCGAGGAAGCCTTCCTTCCTCGGGACGCCACCGCTTTCGACCAACGACAAGACGTTGGGGTGCAGTGAGTGCTTCTCAGGTTGCACCCCAGGAGGTTTTTCAACCTGTCTCTCCTGCTCAATCTCCGGGGCCAATTCGCGCTCTTGTTCCTGCAGCGCACCGCGTTAGCAGATGCCCACAATGCTGATGGGTGCAAAAATGTGCGTGACTCTAACCCATGGGCGTGGAGGTTGGTAATGCAATCATTCAAGAAGGCCGGCGCCTCAACTATACACCCTTGAAGGATAGAGGCAGAGGTATCCAAGTGCTGACGTGGAGTCCCACGACACTTGTGGCAGAAGCAACGAAATAAAGGGGCTTACCTCTTGAAAAGAAGCCGAATCAAAATGGGCAAGTTGGAAGCGTTCACACTTGTCCTTTATAGCATCGATTTGATCGTGACGACCGGCCAGCAGGGGATTGTTGAAGTGCTCTTGTAGCACTTGGCTGGCGTTTCCCCCTTTGGGGCAATATCGCGCTTCCAGGCTCATTGCCTCATCTTCGAAGTAACTTGCAAGATCATGGCCGGAAATGTCGTCGACATCGCGGGTCTCTACCTGAGTCGTCCAGATGGCTTCTTGCCGCTGGTGTCGCAAGCCTTGCATAGCCCACAAGGGAATGCTCTTGCGAGATTCGGCCCACGTCTCTGTAATTGACCAACAGAGAACGTCAGAAACAGCGAGAGACGCTCCGTCCATAATGTTGCAGACCTCCCTTATCCTCATCTGGATCTCTGCGGGTACAATGAAGGTAATAGACTGACCCTTACCAAGTTTTCTCAGTCGCATGCAAGCTAATGTCACGAGTTAGTCAGTCTCAGGCCAGTAATGGAAGTCAATTTAAGTTTCAAAGACGTGCACCTGCTTACCTTGCACGAGCCAATCTTTCGTCAGCTTAGGCCCAAGAATCGTGGCAGCTCGATAATCGTCTGGGAGAATCAAGTTGATGCCTCGAGTATGAGCCTCATCAAGGAACACAAGGCAAGCATCTGTATTACCGGCAAAAGGAGAAGCATGGAACGGCTCCACGAAGCCTGCTCTATTCAGGACAAGGATATCGTCTTGCTTGTCCAAGAAGATGACTGCTTGCTTCTGAGCGCTGGGTGTAATTCCAAGCCACCTGCGGGCAACTTGTTCGTTGTTCAGGTCCACGATGAGGGCGCCGACGTCGAGGATGACCTGGATAGGGGGCTTGTTGCTTTTTATAGACTCTAGAAGGGATCCGCTACCAATTTCAGCGTCGAGCTCCTTCACCATGTTTTCCGAACGAAGCAGGCATTGCAAAACAGATGCATTGGTGTGTAGTTACTCCGGTAGATCAATGTGTTCTACCTCGATTGGCAGAACCAATTTCGAGTCGCAAGTACCGCTGAAACCCGTGATGGGGTGTCGTTTAGGCCTCGCCAAGTCCCAGCCAGAGGCAGACAACTTTTTGGGGAACTCGACCATCTCCTGTGGAAATACGACAGTGCGGAGGTAGAAGTCAACGACGGTCTTGGTTTGTCGCAATGCCGGATACACACGCGCGACACACTGAGCGCGGTCCTTGAGGTTGACCCCGGCAAGCTGGTGGTAGACCTGCTCCAGGCTAGGAGACTCCTTCACCCAATCTCCATATGCCATGGAGCCTTGGTCGGATCGTCCCAGCTGCTCAAATGCCGTGTCAAGCGCCTCTTCTGACAAGCCACCATAATAGTGGCTTAAACACGTAAGAACTATGACTATGTCTGGATGGCTGAACTCGGACCTCGGTGCTGGCGAGTCCTTTGCGCGGTAAGGGACGGCTAGCATAGTTGGCAGACTGCGTTTGGCGATGCCGTAATTCACACGCCATCGTTTCTGGCCAAAAGCAAATGCTAGGACGCCCCCTACGAACAAGCCTTTCAGCAGGTAGAGGACGTTGCGGATTTTGTCGGAGAAGAAGCCATGTCTTCCGGTCTCTCCCAGACGAACGTCATCCTCGTCCATGCCGACCTGTGTAATGTACTTGAACACAATTTGCCGAACTTGGGAACTTTGGTGGGCAAGCGCGAGACCGTGGATTCCCTTGTCACGAATGTGCCGGGCGACAGACTGGAGCAAAGAGTCTGCAGCGGCTACTCGCAGGAAGCGCAGTAGCGGGAACTGCCCGTTCCGTCCAGGTGCCCGTAAAATACCATCGGGATGTTGGTGCATGGCCTCGGAAGCATACGAGTTGATAAGACCTAGGACCTCTTGAATGATGATCCAGCGCTCGGGGCTCATGTCGATGGCTTTTTGCATTCCAATGGTGTAGACTAGCTCGAACTTGACGCTGAAGTTCTCATCACTCTCGTCAATAATGTAGCGCGAATGGTCTTCGACATATTGTTGCAAGCGAACCATGCCCTTCCCAAGAGCTGCATCCGACCTTCCCGTTGTGTTGGTGCCGACGAGCTCCAAGCCCATCAGCTTGAACGAGAGCACCTCTTCAGGCTGTATCATGAGGACACCGCCATTTGTCATGCATGATTGCAACATATTCCTGATCAACTCGAGCTTCTGGTGATCCATGATTACTGATCGCGAAAACGGCAGGAAATGCACCTGCCGATCAAGGAGCCCGCCCAACTTGGTGACCAGCATGTGTCGCATCTGCTTGGACTGTGGCTTTGCGACGATTACGCAGACAAGTCTTGTTCCGTCGGCCAGATGTACAGCAACGATCTGCACGATCACTGAAGACTTGCCCTCCCCCATATTCAGTTGCATGACTCGGCTCTTTGAATTTGTGTTGAGGAGCATCGAGGTTGCTCTGCTCTGCATCTCAATGTTTGACGTTGACGACCGATTTCTGAACACAACAATCGGGAGCTCTGACTCGCAACTCCTGATATGGGCCTCCATCGTGGTTCAAGAAGGCGAGGACAATCGAGCAATGCGTGAGCCACATGTCGCACGGCTTCAGCTCCGCTCCAAGCGGCTTCTCTACCGCAGCTATGCCATCTTATCCCAGAATGGCGTTGCTCTGGACGCTGCGGTCCAGAAAGCGTGGTCTGGCTATGCGCCGAGTAAAGTCGGCTGGTCGACCCAAGCCAAACACTGGGTTACCACGGAGATGGCCACTGCTGCCCATGTCCACTACAATCTTTTGAGTGGCGAGCTTCTCGTCAATGGTCTGCCGCTCGACCAGCCACCGGCCGATTATCGCAAGTCGACTTTGTTCCAGACTCTTTTTGGCGATGCTACAGTTGAGGTCATGCCTGCTTCAAACCCGGGCTTCCAATTTTCAACCAAGCGCAGCTTTGGAGGGTGCGCTGTTGATCTTGGTATGCGAGCAGGGCAGTTGCTGGTGCGGGCTACGACAGAGCGTGGTATGTACGAGACAGTACCATCCAGCGTGTTGAAGGGCAAGTATCCACACCACTTCCTGAATGACTATGTGCTCTGGCGCAATACGGCAGACAAGAGCGTCAAGTTCCTCTCGAAAGAGAATGCTTGGAATTTCAACCAATCCTCGCAATGGATGCTGTCGCAACCTCAAGCCGATTCTCGCTGGGAATTGAGCAGAAGCGGAGTCCGCGTAATCAGCACTACTCAACAGACTGCGAAGGCGCTGGCGTCCGTTCTCCAGCCTCTGGCAGATATCACGCAAATCCACTGCTTGCTCCAGCCGGACGACACTCTGCTCTATGCGGAAATTCCCCTCCTATGTCTCAGCTTCAGCCTGCAAAGGGGAGGGCGCTTACTACATTCCCAAGAACATCGCCCAATGTTCGTTGATGCTGATCAGTCCCTTGGCGCCTTCGTCGGTTTCCAAAACAAGTTAATGCTGAAGGATGAGCGCAGCAGCGACCGCATTGCATTGGTACTCGAGTCTGACTTGCAATACAACAAGGAGGGCCATCATGTTGAGGTCCGCGTCAAGGACAAGTCAGAGTCTAAGGTTCATGTCGTCAAGGTGGACAGCACTCTCCATCGCCTTCTCGACAACAACGACTTAGACTGCAAGCTTTTCCTGGCGTACCTCCATGCTCTTATGTCGCATTGTCTCCCGGATCCTGCGACGCTGCACACCGGTACAGAGCAAGCGTTCACACTCCTCCGATCGAAGGCAGTCGAATCGTTCACCCAACTATCTCCATCATTGGAATTCAGGTCACGTACATTAAATAGGTCGTCGCCTAATCCGGTGGGCAGTTCTGCCCAGTCGCTCATCTTGTAGATCGCTTATAATTCTACCAGTTGCGTTGTATTATACCGAGTGATCGATGGCCTCAAGCCATCGAATGCCTTGAGAGCGGAAAGTCTATCTCGACAGCCAAAGAGGAAATATTTGCCGTTATTGGCTGCCTCAGATATTACGGCGGCTGGGCGGACAAGATTGAGGGCAAGACTCTCGACATAAACCCAGAAACACTGCACTACACCAGACAGGAGCCGGTATGTTACATGCTAGAGTAGGCTCAAAAAGGAGTGGGAGTAACTGACATTCTCGTAGCTCGGTGTCTGTGGCCAGATCATCCCGTGGAACTTCCCAATGCTGATGTTGGCCTTCAAGATTGGACCAGCACTTGCCACGGGTAACACAGTCGTTGTGAAGACCGCAGAGCAAACGCCGCTCGGGGCGCTTGTTTTCGCCGACTACGTTAAGCAAGCTGGTTTCCCTCCTGGCGTGCTGAACATCCTCTCTGGCTTCGGCAAGGTTGCTGGTGCCGCCATCTCCTCCCATATGGGAATCGACAAGGTAGCATTCACCGGTTCCACCGCTGTCGGGCGTACCATCATGAAGGCGGCAGCAATGTCCAACCTGAAGCAAGTGACCCTGGAACTTGGGGGGAAGTCGCCAAACATCGTTTTTAGTGACGCCGACATCGAACAGGCAGTCTCCTGGGTCAACTTCGGTATTTACTATAACCAAGGTCAGTGTTGCTGTGCCGGTTCTCGCGTTTACGTTCAGGAGAGCGTTTACGACGCGTTTATTGAGGCATTCAAAAAACGGGCTCAGGCAATTTCGGTTGGAGACCCCTTCGATGCAAATACATTCCAGGGCCCTCAAGTCAGCCAGCGGCAGTTTGACAGAATCATGGGATACATCGAGGAGGGCAAGAAGAGCGGTGCAACGGTCGAGGCCGGGGGCAAACAACAAGGAAGCAAAGGTTACTTCATCCAACCAACCATCTTCAGCAATGTCACTGCAGATATGAAGATCATGCAAGAGGAGATATTCGGGCCCGTTATTGCCGTCGCCAAGTTCAAGACCGAAGAGGAGGTCATCAAAATGAGTAATGACAGCCCATATGGTCTGGCGGCAGGCGTCCACACAAAGGATCTCAATACGGCCATCCGGGTCAGCAACTCCTTGCTTGCGGGTACCGTCTGGGTCAACTGCTATAACATGGTGCATCACCAACAGCCATTTGGTAGATATAAGCAGAGTGGCATCGGTCGCGAGCTTGGCGAGGCAGCGCTGGCAAACTATACACAAACTAAATCAGTTGCGATTCGCCTAAGCGGTGCCCTATTCTAAGTCATGCGTCAAAGGAGGCCCGACTTGTGTAGTGGGATGTTACAGACCAACAAGACTACAGGCCCGTTGGCAGGCCTGAAGGGAAGGTGGCCTACGAACAGGCCAAAGCGGAACAAGGACGCAACACGGAACCAACCCCAAGTGCGCAGTCACGTGATCAGGGGATAGAGGATCAGGTAACCAGACTATGCTCATGTCAGCTCAATGAGCAACGGTGAGCACAACCCCATCAGTGTGGGAGAGATTGGATATATAAGGAAGGACATTTCCTAGCTAGATACAAAGACAGTCTCTATCTCAGTAAAAAATCTAAGCATCTTAGTCAACCCTAAGGCGGGAGAAACCTCCTGATCACTCGACTATCAATGAACCCAGTTCAGACCAAGCCCCAGCATCTGAGTGTCTATGTTGGACGTTGCACATTTCGTTCTATAATGCAGACGAAACTACATGATTAGAAGGCGGCCCTGAAGCTGAGAGTCACGTAATTTGTTCTTGTTCAAGGTGCCCAGTTTAAGCAGAGAGACAAGGCAGCGACGATCACAGATATATCTTATTTAGATTTATATGGATGATCTTTCCAGCTTTTTCTGCAGCTTTGACAGCTACTATTAAGCATTTTTTTCATTATTAGCCAAATATTGGTGAGTTTGGTGAGCTTCTTGTAATGCCGGCAAGCCAACTTTATGGCCATCTCTTTCTTGTCGCTATGGTCCCATTTAAGAGCCATAGTAATAGCCTCTGTCAGAGGATAATAATTTCCGTGAGTATTACCATACGTCGTCAAGTCTAGATCTAGCATCATGCTCGTGAAACCAACGCATTCAGCACTGGTAAACTCGATACCCGGGGTTAAGCCGCCGCGAAGTGTGACCGTCGAGTGAATGTAACCAGGGCGCAGGTAGATGCCGTAATCCTCTGTCTGAACATAAAATTTCCCATTTTCTAGCCTGCCCACAAGGTCTTGAAACATTGCATTTGAATGATATGCACGTTTCAACTCTTCATAATTATGCAGACTCAAAGGATATGTTGCCCAAAGCTTGATACAGCCGCCGTGAAGCAGAGTCACTACATGCTTCCCATGATCTGGCAACCTAAATTAATGTATGAACGGGTGCGGGATGTGAGACAACCTTACCAACGTGTAAATCCGCCGCAGCATACGTGGGTGTCACATTTGTTGTCGTCTGGATGTCGTCTTCATTGTGAACCTTATATGAACCCCGAAGTCGCTCCGGGATTCTGATCTTTGCCGATTCAGCAACCATGTTGATAGCATAAACAGTGTCTTCTATGCTGGGCTGGTTGAGTTGTTGAAGCACTTGATAAAAGGGCGGTGGTTGGCAGGGATGGTGAGGATCACCTCGCCGATAAACCCTTGTTGTCTCTTTGTTGAAGCCATGAACTAGATCGTTCATAAAAGTTTCGAGCTTTGGTTTTTCGACCCAACACTCTCTTGCAGGAAACAAGGCTAGAGATTGCGGACCGTGGCCTGTCCACACAGAGTCGTCCGTCGAAAAGGCAATCTCTGATATCCCTCCTATCCGGTCGATTTCTTGTCTATACACAGACGCGAGAGGAGCGAGTGGTCCGTCAGCCATGCGCAAGAATTCTTTCAGCAATGCCTGTCATTCCGAGTCGTCCACTTGCGGCGCCCGCACAGCTCTTCCCGGCTGTGCATGCTTTCCTATCTTGGCTTTATGTTTGGTAGAGTTTGTATGTGCCCTCCAGCCACTTTTAGATATAAATTTACCGCAAGGTTCGCATTTCTGTTTGTGTTGATTGTCATGCTGTTCCAGGTGGCGCTTGAAATTATTACTCATGACCGTTTCTCTGCAGCGGGTGCATTGCTTTTCAGATGGTTGTGCTGGCATGATGGGAGGTGTGATGAGAACCGTGAGTAGCCGTGATGGGAAGCGTGATGGGAGGAGCGAGTGTTTGGAATCCACAACTCCTGCCCCACCCCAGCATTAGCGGGGGGTAGGTGTCCTGCCCCGCAATGACAGCACGTCCTTGTGTCAAGCAGATCCCATTTTGCATCACAGTCAACTCCTCCGACGCCCACACCCACACCCACACCCATACCCACACCCACGCGCCCATACACGCACAATCCACTGCGTCTATCACTACAGCAGAATAGGGCAACCGAGACTGCAACCACCGACCCGATCACCATGTCTGACATGGTGGCCCTCGTCAAGCTCTAGGAATGCTTTGATACGAAGCCCAAGGTATGCACTATCCTTGACGTTGCCTACCTTTATCCACACATAACGCCATACGATACGAACTGACTTGTTATCAGATCAAATGGGAGAAGCTTGCTGCCAGAGCCGGCTTCAAGGACGCTGCCGCAGCCCGACCTCACTACGAACCATTCCTCAAGCCCAACGCCCCCAACACCTCCCCGACCACCCGAGGGAATTCCCACAATATCGAGGCCCGTCTCGTGCGAACCGAGGCCCGGCATGACGTCAAAAAGGAAGAGAGTAGCTATACTGATAGCTCTTTCGCCAACGACGTATACGATATGGAGGACGGCGAGGTCTGATGCGTACTCGGGAAATGCTCGCACATCATACAGGCACGGATTCATACTTCGATAGCTCAATTAGGAAGGGCATACGATCATTTGGATTTGAGACGGGGCAAGAGAATACATTTGGGTTTCCCAGTGCGCTTGTCGGGCCCCCAGTGTGAGTTCGCTGGTTTATCTTGTCGTGTAGCGTCCTCACAGCGCCAAATGAAGGGACTACCGATTCCTCCGTCTGCGGGTCCCAACCTCCAGCTAGTGGGGAGAGATTCCGGCCTCTGTCCACCCGTGCACTTGAGAGCGGGGGTAGATTGTTTGTATTCATTGAGAACGATTGTCATACGGAACCACACAGACAGGACACAAAGGACAAACGGACAAACAGGGCCCATTTCGTGTTTAGCTGGATTGTATAGTGAGTATATATTACTAACAAGCTAACAACGTGCGAGCGGTTGATCTCATTAGACCGTTGGGGATTGACAGATTTACCGGTGTGCTTTCATCTACCTAGACAGGTGCCGGGGCTTCACCCTGCATGCCACAATCTCTGTTCAGCCAATTGACGCTGATTCCGGTAAAGGATAGTTCCTTTCCCGCGGGTCCATCCTCGAGAATCCCTACCACTTCCTTCTTCAGTATGCGTTATGGCGATCTTCGTAGCCAATGCGGCCTGGCGCTTTGACCCAACTTGTCCAATGTTCTTGCCGCAGATCGATCGGTGGGGCTCGCCAGGGCTAATACACAGAGATTCTCCGCTACGAGGGCTTAGCGGGAACACGCAGCCCGTGGCGCATGCGAAATTTCGCATCCATCTCCATCGACCTAGAAGGTTCTACTTTACACTTCATTTCATCCACAATTCCTTTTCGCTAATCGGCTGTTCACCACAATGTCATTGCCAAACGATCTCGGGACCGAACGAGAGCTTTCCGAGCTTTCCGAGGAATCCGACACCTCGGTAGAACTGGCTAGTCTTAAGGCTAGGCTGGAAGAATTAGAGCATCGCAATGAAGCGAAATCCCAAGCCCGAGCGGCACTGACTGCTCTCACAAAACGGTTACAGAAAAAGGAGAAGTTACCAAGTCATCCTTGGGCGACATACTACCTTACCGCTATTCATCTGATGCCAAAGCCAATTTGGGAAAGGACGTGATTCCCATTATTGTGTTCGTATGTTTCGCCAAATACCTTTCAAAGAGTCAGGTGGAAGCTCTTGCTGCACATGGACCGTCGTTGGCAAAGGCTAGCCTGCTTCTTGCAAAGGAGGAGTTCCAGTCGTCTTGGTTCGATTGCTACATGAACTGGAAAAAGTCAAATCTCGAAATGGCATTCCATTTCTTTCTGGGTAAGCACCATATTTTCGACACAGCCCCCTTCCATGGTAATTAACAACCACTAGAAGTGACGGAGGCTGTCAAAGCCAAAGATTGCGATATTCTAGAGGCAGGACGACCCGATGCCACTAGAGCAGGTCGCAAGAGGGCTACGGCATCGCCGAGTGGAGTCGGTGTTTTAGGGCAGAAGAGACAACGCACCGAACGAGCACAACTGTCTTGCCAGCCTGAATCCGCCAACCTCCACCCGCTTGAGCACAATGCACCTCATGATGAGCGTACCCGAGACAACTCAGTCCCTCAAGTTGACGTCCCTCAAGTTGACGTCCCTCGCAGTTGGAGTGTGCAGGGCGTAAGTTCGCAGGCCTTGTATGGAGGGCAACTCGACAACACATTTGGGGCAACAGGCGATCAACGAATCCTAGAGAAAGACAATCTCGACTTTTCGCCTCTCGCTTATCTGCCGTATGGTGAGACTACCCGTCCAATACTCATGCCCGCCTACTAAGTATCATCGATAGCGTTCCCCTATAGGTACACCGGGCTTGCCACCGCTCAATTGGAGTATGTAATGGGGAACGATTCCTTTCTCTCCGTCGCTATCCAGTCCGGTCGTTGGTGGACAAATAAAGACAGGACATCCTGTTTTGGTTTGGCATTTCCCGATAATGTTGAAGAAGATACCATGATTATGATATCGGCGAGTCAGTCATTTGCGGCTGGACTTGTTCAACATCTGATCCCCATGTAATATGCGCTTTAGCCACCCGGACTGCGAATCCTGCTGGAACCTGAAGTTTTTCTCCGTCGCTAGGTTGATACCGCCGTTGTTCTTTCTTGCGGAATATGATGACTTCGTGGCCTTTCGCATACAATGTTCTTTCAGTGGTTACTGGATCGAAAAGTATGATTTCGTGGTATTGTCCCCCGGCGGCTATAGAGCTGGCATCCTGTTGTATTGCAGGTTAGTTAATGATATATCAACGCTCAAAAGTGACACTCACCGCTTCAGACATGATGAGGATTTTGTCTAATCGAAGGCCTCGGTATAGGTGAGAGAGGCGGTTTGTTGTTGCGAGTCTCCTTTCCAGGGTTGTTAGGCAGTGATACTAGTCGGAGCCATAATAAAAACCTGGTGCGATGTTGGGTAATCGGTCGAGGTTAAACGTTGGGTGGCAGTAGACAGGTTGGGCATAAATGAGGTTCTTGATTGAAAAGTCCTATGAGTTAGCGAGATGTATCGGGTATCACAGATGGTGTATCCTCGATGATGGAATGCGACCACTAGACCCGGTCCCGGTCCAAGATCTGATTGATTCTGTCCTCTTGAACAGGATGGGGTGGGTAATGGCGAAAAGTCATGTTTCCAAATTTCTGGCAGAATGCGCTCGTCATATTGGGGCGGGGGCGGGGTCTCACGTGCTCCCAACCTCGTAAGGCCCTCAGAAGCTTTAACCACGCGCTAGCATGGCAGGTGGCCACATCGCAGACATGGTCTGAACCTGCGAATGCGACGAATATATATCGGTAGCTACAAAAATCTGGAGACACCTGAACCCTACTTAGTGAGCAGACGCTGTCGAGATGATCTACCTGGAACAGGGGCACGGCCCTCCAATGGACCCAGTCCGCTTCAAGAGTCGGTCGCTTGCTCAAGGGGGTTGTGTGCGCACTTCCTTCTGTATACACTCGTGAGACCTGCTGCGTGTTGCATGCTGCAGCTACTGTGGATTGCAGCTACTCGAGTCTAGTTGATTTCAGTTATTCAGATTGTAGTCATCCATAAATTGCAACTACTGTAGATTGTAACTACTGGTGTAATCAACGCCAGAGTTTTGCAAATCTGCGCTCTCATCATCATGTAACATGCTCAACGCTCTCATCCATATTCATGGTGTCAATTGTTGATGTCGAAGAGCTTCCTTGATGGATAGGGGTTCGGTTTATGATATCAACTGATTGAGAAGTCGCTTCGTCGACTCGATTTTGCCCCGACGCTTCGCTATGATGTGGGGTTGTGCGCTCGGGATCTCGTGGTTGAAATGGGGCGCGATGCAAGAGAGGTGAGGCAGCATGTTGCTGTCCAGTGGACGGTATCTTGATACGGCTCGTGGAGCATTCGGTCAGAGTTGGCGGGGCTAGCCAATGCCAGAGATTGTATCGAGGAGGGAGACTTGGGCGGTAGGCACAAGGGGGTTGGTCGCATTTCCTTCATTGTTGGTGTGTCTATGGAACAGTACAGGCCTGTGAAAGAGGTGTCGGGGCCATGGTTCGTAGTGAGCTCTGGCTGCAGCAGCATTCCAGGAACCGGCTCTTGCAGCAACCTTATCCCGATGGGTATGAAAACAACTTAGCTCGTAGTTCAAGGCGTCATACGCGGGATGGAGGAAGGCAACGTCGAATGGAAGTGCGTACCTTCGGGTTCGTGCCAAAGCATGCCTGGCGCTCGACGAAGCCCGCCATGGTGGGCGCGTGGGTGTGGTTGGAGAGGGTTTTGACTACAATGATGCAGCATGATAGGTGGGAGAAAATGAGCGGCGGCAAGGCTGAGGCGTCACGTCACGGGGATACGCGATTATTATGGGGCGAGACCCACTGCCCCGCAATGATCGTTTGGGGAACTTGATCTTGCCTATTCTTTTCTCATGACGCTTATTTGGCCCTTAGCCCTACAAATACCTCGACGTAAAGCAAGAGCTCGACCTTCTCGATACCCCGGATTCCCTACTGAAGCACACCTTTTTGGGTTGTCCGAAGCTCAGCCAAAACCCATCCTTCAGCTCTGGCGCGGAAGCCGCAACGAGGCGATCTCTCCTTGCAACCTTTGCGCGATGCGCTTACTACTCAAAAATGACTCCCCATTCACTGCCGCCTGGACTGTAGCAAGAATATGATAGTTTTCGGCAAGAGATCTTAGCAAAGCTCTAGCGAGAGATCAAAACATTGGGGACTACAATTTTCCACACGGTTAACAGTCAAGCCTCAGGCCCACCCAGCCAGACGCGGTCCGGCAAGTTACGCGGGACAAACGACTTCAGTAACGTCATCTCGGTGTACCTAGAAGAATTCGCCGAGCAATTCGTCCGGAGCATCGATATCGAGTTCAACCGGCGCTTCTCCTCACTGAGCGAGATTCAATGAGTTGCGGCCCGCACCGTGCGAAGTTACGTTCTTCTCTACCGGAACGGACCCGGTACCCGGGCCCTGTACCATACAGCGCCAAGTACGTCTATGCGCAACGTTGCACAGGGTTGGCTTTTCATATCCTTGCTCTCATCGGGACACTAGACTTGTTAGAGATTGCCGGTAATGGGGTATCCCCACCATCCCCATCGTCCTCATCATCCTCATCATCCCAACCGTCCCCATCATGCTGGAGTATAGTCCGTTTGATGCACTTGAGATTCCTCTGCGAACCGAGGCCCGTTATGACTTCAAAAAGGAAGAGCGTAGCTATACTGATAGCTGTTTTGCTAGCGACGTATACGATATGGAAGACGGCGAGGTCTGATGCGTACTCGGGAAATGCTCGCACATCATATAGGCACGGATTCATAGTTCGATAGCCCGATTAGGAAGGGCATAAGATCATTTGGATCTGAGACGGGGCAAGAGAATACATCCTGGGAGAGCCATACGTGCCACAGGAAGCGCTTGGCAAATGGCTAGGAGGCATGCCCCGCCAGCAGGAGCAAGAATCAGACATGGATGGGAGCTTCGCGGTAACGCTCGGAGGCCGCTCACGGGACAAGAAGCCCGGGGAACCAGAAGGTCGCACGTGCCCTTGTCAAAAAGATGGCGGCGCCTCCAAGCGTCACAAATGGCCCCCTAAGAGCTGCAACAAGGTCTAGCTGGCTATCTAGGGAAAGACTTCATCAAAGCGCAGGTTAGCCAGACCTCCGAGCGAGAAAGAGCTCCAGGAAACTCGGGATCGCTGCCAGTACGCGAAATGAAGCCAGCTTCACACCACAGAGCTATAGGTGGCGGATGGTATGGTCTAACGAACGCGTGAAAGGGCTGCTCGAAGGGGAAGACCAGGGAGCATGATCACTCGAGCCCGACTGTACAAGATTACCTCTATATATTCATCAGATCTCTGTTCCGAAAGCCTATAATGGATGCAGAGGAAATTAGGACAACAGAGCGCGCTGCCAGGACACCCACGTTATCCAAACATGCGAGCGAAGGAAGCCGCATTTATCTGCCCTTGGAATCCCCTGCTGTTGTTTTGTGCCGACAGCTTTCCGAATGACTGATCCACACTTGCGGCCGACAACCCCACCTATCACTTCCTGTTCGATGGTGATACGTGTTGAATATCTGCTTGCAATTCGGCATAATACTTGTGTCCACTCGCCGGCCCGGGGACCTCCTCCCTTGGGAATGTCTTCAGTCTTGCTACAACACTACCTCAGATGAGGTCAACGAGATCTAACCTCCCCACAGCGCTGCGTTCATCCTCCGTGGCCGACTAGGTGTCAGACCATCACGTAGACTTACTACGGTCAACAAGCCAGGCCCGAGATACAACTGTTATTGCAGAGTGCGAATCGCCTCACTGACTAGATACAAGCTTCCCGTGACCAGGATGTGCCTCCCAGGCTGACCGACAGTCTTTGCTAGATCGACAGCCTCGTCGACAGTTCTTCTCAGCTCGACCTTGTCATTTGAACGAACGCATTTCCAATCTTGAGCATACTGCTTCATTTTATCTTCGTAGAATGCATCTTGAGCTGCGGTTGGTTAGTCAGTACTAGTTGACTTCCCAGGTGAAGGAAATTCTCACTATTCCTAGCAGTCTCATAGGAAGTTATGATGACAGTATCTAAAGGCACAGTGATAGATCGAGCTAGGGCTTGCAGCACGCCAAATCCATCTCGTTGCGTTGAAATTTGAGAGAAGACGAGGACCCTCGTCACAGGGATATCGCTGCAGATCTATCAGAACATGGCCAAACCAGTGACAGCGAACGTACCTTTCAGAAATGCTTGATGACGAAAACCACTTCGCCGCCTCTCCAACACTGAGTTCATTATGTGCCCCGTCCAGGAACCAAATATTCTCACCATGGCGGACTACTTCGAATCGACCGGGCCAACGGAACTGATGAAGCCCACATAGGATATCATCCGCGTGCAGAACATGACTTCCTGGCTCCTTGACTTTGAGGAATGCGTCGCACACTTCTCTGGCTAGAGAGCAGTTCCTCCACTGCACATCGGGCAAGGATATACTTCTGTGAAGCTTATTGTCGATTTCTACAAACTTTGGCGGGTTAATCTTCTTCTCCTTTGCTCGATCCGCCAGCACGCTTGCCACTTCTGGAGTCTGTGGAGAAGAGTAGGCAGAGGAGCCTGGCTTGAATATGCCGGCCTTGTGCCAGGCAATATTCTCGACAGTCGGGCCAAGCTGGGCAACATGATCTATTCCGATTGGTGTGATGACGGTGATCACCGGCGTTGGAATGACATTCGTTGCATCAAACTCGCCGCCGTGGTGGGTTTCAACAATGGCAACATCGACGCCCTCTCCCACGAAAGCGTGTAAAGACGTAAGCGCCAAAATGTACTGGCCACCTCCGCCAGGAATTGACAAAACTGAACGCCGACAGTTTTCTCTTCATCAGTTGCTGTTTTGGTACCGAGTTCCGGGCAGTCTCTGGCCTTTTCGCTGCGTCGGACCTTGAAGCATACCTCGAGTCTCACCCATTCTCTCCTGATAAGATCGCCTTAGTTCGCCGCAGGATGGAGAAGTACGACGCAGGATACCCCGCGGGAGAGTTCAGCACCATTTGGAGGTCAGTTTCGCAGGAGCCTCTCGTGAAAAGTAATGTACCCTCTTGGTTATTATATCGCGCATTCCCATTGTGATTGTCATTAACCAGAAGCAGCGGCCTCGAGGCCTAGAATCGGGTTCCTTGAACTCGATATTACACTTCAGAATCTCTTGCGCTTCCTCGTCTTCGCTGGAGGATCTGTTCCAGAGAGACTGGTAACGAAAGTTAGTTTGAACACGTTTTGGGGAACTGATGGGGAGGTCCGGGTCAAACACGGGGTTGCAGCCGCATTCATTCCTGATGCTCCTACGACTCTCTCCAACCTAGAGTACCTTGAGCAAGAGGGCTATATTACATCGACCTTGGAGCAACAGCGGATTTACTTAGCGGCTCCAGCGACCGGGACGTCTGTAATTGAGAACACAACAGACGTCCTCTACTGGAAATGGCTGGTTGCCACTGCCATATTCGAAGCATTCCCGAAAGACCGAGAGATCGAGCCTGTCTAGTGCGTGGATAACAGAACCGATATAAGAATACTACTAACATCATCCTAGCTATTCCTCAACCGGCCAGAGCCTGATACGCAATGCGAACCTTGCTCTGTCGTATTTCCTCGAGAACGAGAATCACTTTGACAAGACACTTGTTGTCGAAGCTTGTATGGCAATTTCGTATTTTGGCTCTGCAAGCTGGAAACGCCTTACCATCTCCCTTGCTGAATCGGCATGCGACGGCGTATGTGACCCGGCATTGCACGCGATGGTAATGCTGCGGAAAACCAGATTGGCTAGGATTTATCGTGGCGGCAACGTCATTTCTGGACCACTATGGACATTGGATCAGATCCGCACGAGTCTAAGCTCCCGAGACCCGGTTGAGCCACGTTCTAACGCTCACCTTGGCGAGCTTGTATTGTTCCGGGCGCAGCTTGTCGTTGACAGGGGTGGTAAGACACAGGATGTTCAAAACATCTTGAAAGAGTTTCACGCCCTGGGGAGGCCTTCAACTTTGGAACATTCTATTCTTCATGAATGCCAATTCATCCTTGCTAGGAGCCTACGGTTCCAAGGAAGATTTGACGAGGCAGCGAGTTGCTTACAGGAGTTGTTTCAAAGGACTGCAAAGAGGTCCGTCCCCAAATCGGCTGCGTTGCACTTCAGCGACGTCGAATGCGAGAGAGAACATTCCATGCAGGCAATTCGCTTCTTGGAGAGTGAAAGCGTCGTGGCAGGCACGATATCCGGAAGCAAGCACTGGAGGCAATTACAGTTTTCCAGAGCTAATGCCAATTTGATGTGTGGCCTCTGGAACTGGGTTAGAAAACGGGAGAGAAACTCGAGGTGGTTCGAAGATGCTAAGAACCTCTTCCCAGACGCACAAAAAGGCATTGAGGAGAGTGCATTCCACAGGCATATGGTTTTTGGAGTCCACGCCGGATTGGGCATGATCTATCTGGTTCAAAACGACATGGAGGCGGCATTTTCAAGTTGGACGGAAGCTCTTGACATCGCAAAGGAATGCTGGCCAGAACCTGGTCATTCGGAGATGATAACTCTTTATGCTCTGAGTCAAGTCTACTATCGCATTGGCCGCGACGGTGCACACGAGCTTGCAGCAAGTGCAAGAGCTATCTTTCGCAACAAGGGTCGCCAGTACTATTTTGTTGGACAGGGAACGCTTTGGCTGGATGTCCTGAGTGACCTGGCAGAAGATGACGGACAGCAAAGACTGGTCTCTCGAGTGGAGCTAAGCATGAGTTCGTAGGAAGGACGATCTTCCCTGGTAGACTTATTTATCAATACTTTTCTACTTATAATAACGGGAGCTCGAGCTGCAACAACAACCATCAATTTCGACTTCAAGATTAGCCACTTATTAGAGAACCAAGGAAAGACCTAGCAGTTAAGGACATCTTTCGATCCCTTCAGGAGCAATTTGAATAAAACCCAAGTTTGCCTACAGGACGATAGGAACCCACAGGACTTTACGTTCTTCGCTCAACTGGTGTTAGCTATTCCGTGTGTCGTCTCCAGCTGTCGATGGCGTCAAACTCATTTCCGTCTTTAATTGAACACTCAGGCACTATCTCAGTAAGTTTGAGACTTGCAGGAGTCTCTGCGGGTGGTTGGGGCAACAAGCCGAAGATGGCCGCAGGCGTATGTGACGCGGGTCCAGCCGCCTATTATGGGAAAATGGTGAAGGGGGATGCATCAATTTTGTGTATGAGGAGATGATCGGTTCTCGTAGGCAAAACGTGGGGCTGGCTCGCAACCTGGCTTGGATCAACCTTTCGGGGGACCAAGTAGGGTATAAATTACGTTGTCTATGTAGTAAAACCTACACCGGCTGCCATGCAGTTGTAGATGACGCTTCTGGACGATGCAATGACCCGTCCCTCGTGTTCGAGGGTAGCGTCCCGGTAACACTGGCCTGGACAATCGCTCGCTTGGCCTGGAAAATCGTTCCAGCCGACGAAAGCACTGCAAGCGTGTATGTATAAGGGAAGATATTGACGCGTACGGCGCCAAGGCCAAGTAGGAAACCTGAGGCCAGAAACACTAGCCCACTGAAAAGGAGCGAGGAGTAGTAGCGTAGCCGGGAGTCCAGGGGCCTGTTCACGCGCCTTGCAGACTTGCAAAACAGGTAGGCAAGCAATCCCGGGACTACTACATCAGAGATGACCAGCGACCATAGAATCTCCAGACCAAGTTCGAGTTTGGCGACAACCCTAGCGATGGTAAAAAGGGTCTGAAGACCGTATCCACTAATGGCGATGGCCCACCTTCTCGTCCAGAACATCTTTTCCAGTAGCGGTAGGATCGAGACCCCGTACTAAGTCCGTGTTAGGTAGGAAACTGTCCGGTTTGAGATCAGACTGACCTTTGACAGGACGGCATAGTGTAGGCAAAGTGCTTTCAAGGATATCGACAGGTAGATCGCTGTGTCGTCGTCGGTATGGTAGTAGGACGAAAGCAAGGCTATGCTTGTAACCACAAAAAGGATGGTGGAATGCTTGAGAAACCGATGCTCCTTGTATAACAGGTAGAGCTGAACTCCATGGAGTATGATAGCGACACTGAAGGTAGTAGGTAACAGCCAATGATCGATAGGCTGGGAATCCATGGCGAACGACAGACCGCGTTGCAAGTGGGCTTTGAGAAAGATGCACTTTCTGCCTTCCCGTGGGTAGCACAGCTATTTGAATATACATGCGTGATTAGATGACTACTAATTTCCTCTGTCCATGCCTATTAATCCCGGCATGCCATGCTAAGTCTCGTACTGAGGGAAGCGTCCATAAAAAAAGCAGTAGAGATGGACCGGCAAGCATCGTCCAGGTCTACTATTATCCTGGTCCTGCACTGTACGTACCTACCGTGCGTGGCTACCATAGGAGGCGTTACATGAGGAGATAGAGTCTAGACGGATCGGCGATCCCGACGTCTGCTGGTCTTGTGTTCACTGGCTTACATGCTTCACAAGCTCGTTGGCTGGCTGGGGAACTTCACTGGCTGCCAGCCGTGTTTGACTGGCTCACTGGCTAGCCGGCGCCTATTCACTGGCTGCCGTGTTTGGTTGGCTCGCTTCACTGGCTGGCTAACATGCCTTCACTGGCTGCTGCGTTTCAGCGGCTGTCTGGCCTCAGCTCACTGGCCGCGCTGCCGTGTTTCATTGGCTCAACCATGTACGGAAAGCACCATGTTGGTGACCAGGGCTTCACATGCTGGGGGGTTCGGGGGAGTCAACCGGCTGTACCTAGGTGTTCTAGCTACTCGTCTGAGTGTGATCCCATCACTTCAGACTAAAGGATTAGGGGGGCAGACCTGCCTTTACTGGCTGCCGTGTTCTATTGGCTCAACCATGCCCATGATGCACCATGCATGGCAACCATGCATAGGATGCACCATGCGTGGTGACCATGTACGGGAAGCACCGTGTTGGTGACCAAGGCTTCACTTGCTGGGGATCCGGGGGAGTCAACCGGCTTTAAGTCTCGCTGACATGTCATGCTGCCGTGTTCCATTAGAGACTCAACCATGTATGGGAAGCATTATGCTGGTAACCAGGGCTTCAGGGGAGTCAAGTAGCTGTGGGTGCTCATTAGCCGGCTGGTATGCCGCATCTGGCTGCTGTGTTCTTTTGGCCGGCTTCACTGGCTGGGGACATTCCCTGCAGTTGGCTGGCGTATATTCTTTGGTGGTCTCATTAGGATGTATATGCATGCAGATTAGGAGGCCGTGCCAGCCATCTGATGCTACCCTTGACCAAAGATGGTATGTATTACGCTCTGGGCTACTCGATCATGCACCACTATGATAACTGTTGAGGGCCAATACACGTATGGGTGGACATTGTTGTATTGGAGATGCTTGAGGTGTGTGAAGCTATCTCGGCTTGCTAGCTACATATCTGGGGAGCAGGGCAACGGTGGCCTGTGCACCGGGGTTGGCCTGAGGCCACAACAATAACACTGTACATCTTGGGCATGGATGGCCTATCAAACGCACAGCTGACTGCGACTGTGGCCGTAGTTGTGGTGGGTTGTGTGCAGTGATATGAAAGTACGTGGTGACATGGGGTGACTAGCGCAAAATCGAAATCGTGCATATTCCGATTTTACGCTAGTGCAGAGGGTAACTAGCGTAAAATCGAAATCGTGCATATTCTGATTTTACGCTGTGGTGACATGGGATGACTAGCGCAAAATCGAAATCGTGCATATTCCGATCTTACGCTAGTGCAGTGGTTGCTGCGGGTAACGATCATTCAGCTAAATTCGTTAACGGTGCGCGGTTCGCGTCTTATAAGCGGGACAACGTAAACCCTTATGTCGCTTCTTATATTTGAAACGCGAACTTAAGCGTATAGAATGACCTTCAACGCGTGAACTATATATTAACCCGACTTTATTTAACGTCGTAATTATTAAATTAGTTAAGAATAACATTTCTATCTGCACCGAATTTACTTGCGAAAAAAAGTTATCTTATTTCACCTTTCACGTTTATAACAATTTAATAATTAAGTAAGGTCGGTATTAAATTATAGTTAATTATTTAAAGAATTTAACGACTACTTTTCCGTTTATTAATATAAGATTTTCACTTAAATCAACCCTGTTTTAATAAGGTTTTTAAACGTATTACTATGTTTAAAAGCTTACATTAAGCGCTTTTAAAAGCTTTATAAACTAATGTTAGTTATTATATACTTATAAGCATTTAACTTAACCTTTAACTTTACCGATATATAACATTCAATCGGCTTAAAAGGTTATTAAAAACATTTATAAGCTTATAATTCTTAAAAAAGCGTAGGTTTTATCATTTTAAAACGAAAATATACTTAATTAACCCGACTGAACGGTATTAACTTATAATAAACTTTACATATATTTAAACACACAAATGCTTACTTGTGTAAAAAGGTGTTATCGTTATTAAGAAACGGGTATACATAATAAAATTTACTTAACGTTTTTAGACGCCTCGCATATTAAAAAATAACGTACACATCTTTTAAGTAATTAAACCGATTTCGCCCATACCTAGTGTTTTTCGTACATCTTTATCTCTTTATATAAAATTATACTAATCAGCGTTATATATATAAAACATTCGAATACGAAACTATGAAATAAAGCGATTTAATTAAGCACGGGGCCGTAAAAAAGAAACTGGAATAGTTTAAACGCAAAAGCTATTAAATGTGTAAAAAACACCATATAAAACGGTCCGTTAAGCTTTACTTGATAAATAACACGTTTATATAACTTTATCTCGCGGGTTTTCGATACAATTATTCGATTTAAAACATAAATAATAAGCCCACGCCTTAAGTTAAGGTTTATAATAAGATTAAGTTTATAAGATATTATTATTACGTTTTTAAACGAGATGTTAATACATTAAAAATAAAAATGTTATTATTTTATAATAAGCCGTTTAACTTATAAGGTTAAAAGGTTATATAAGGTTTAAACTTTAAGGTAAGTTGATATAAAAGACGATAAAAGCTTTCGTTCATTAAAAAAAACTTAAATGTTCAGGCTTAATCTAAACCGGGGTTTACTAAATAATCGAGTCGTTAAGAAATTTTTCCTACCTTAAAGTTTGTTAAAATGCTTAAATTAATTATTAAATGTAAGCAGTATGGTGCTGTCAGGTGTGGTGGCAGACTAGGCCGCAGCCGCTGGCAGCTGCACAGGAGCTGATAGGGAAGAAAGGGAGCCAAAGGGGGTGAAAGCATCCATTATGGTGGCCATTGGTGGCAGCCTGGCAGTGTGTCAAGGAGCCGGGCATCAAAGGGATTCCACAGCTGTATTTAGGTGGGAATCTTCCCCATGGGACCATAGCTAGGACACCAAGCAAGCACGCATCCCATCCCTGACCATCCCTGACCACACCTGATCACTGCATTCTGACATTAAAGTAAAAACTGTTTATTTCTTTAGCTAAGAAATCTCCATCCTTATATATTTAAATTTTCCCTTATTAATAAAGTGTGCTTATCATTACTCGCGCGAATAAACGCGGAGCAAAGTTTGATTACGTGATCCACATTTACTAAACCACGTTATTTAATACCTTGGGTTCCCTTTATATAATGTTTTTATTCCGATTGACTTCTTTTATAAACCACCTCTTTTTTAAGCTTATTAACGGGCCCGTAGCAGTATTAGTTTTTAACATGTTGAAACTTTAAGTTAACGCTTAAGTTTAACTTTTTTTCCTTATTACGAGTTTAAAGTAATAATGTTAATAATATTAAAACTGCAGCTTTAACAGCACGCTTAAAATTTACTTTAAAACGCGGCCACTTGTTAAACGCCGTAACTTTACCTCTTATATCGAGTTATTTTAAGTATATTATATTCAATAAACTTTCAGAATGTCGCGGCAGTTTTATAAATAGCAACTTTCGAAAAAGTGTTAAAAGCTTAACATATAAGGGGACAAGCTTTATTGTATTAATTATGTTATTATTTACGTTTGAAATTATTTAAGCTCCTAGTTAAATAAGATAAGAAGCTGGGCAACTGTTAATAGTATTTACAACATGTCAATTAAAACTTTTTAACGGCTTTATTTCGAAACCCGAAAATATTCTTTTTAAAAGGCTTTAAAGTGAAAGAGTATAATGTAAAATATTGAATCACCTCTCCCTTTTTTCATGCTGCATCTTTCGGGTAAAATTGTAAGAATGGGCCACTTTTAAAATGCGAAACAACTTTTAACATTACCTTTATTAAATTGAGCCCGCCGATGCTCTTTCAATTCAATTTATATAACAAGTATAACAAGGTTAATAAGATATGACTTTTTAACTTTAAGCGCGTTTAATCGGAACCGTATTAACATCTTTATCCATTTTAATAATCCCGAAACCATCCTTTGCTCGAAAGATTTTAAAGTGAAACATACATATTAAATCTTTTTTCATGGCTTCGTAAAATGCGTTAATAGATTTCGGAGGGAATTTTAATTCGTTTACGTTTAAATACGATTTAAGTCGCTTATCGAAGTTAACGTTAACCTTAACACCCCTTTTATTACGAAACGCTTTTAATTTAAAGGGCCTTTTAGGCTATTAACCAAAATCGAATTACTTGGTATTTTTAGTTATTTTACGCATTTTAAATATAAGCGAAAATACGTGGGAAATACTCTTTATATACAGGTTAATCAAAGTTTAAATGGACTGTTTAATTTATTAAGTTATTAAAGTTGTTATCATCGTTTTAACCGGAAACACTTGGTTACGCGTGTTTTAACCGTGAAAAACTAACCATTGTTATTACCAAGGCTATAAATACGTCATTCGTGGACTCCCCACTTAAAATAAGGCCGAGTTCGGTTATTTAAGCAGTAAGCATCGGGGCTTATGCTTTAATCCCAGCTGGTCCGGTAAGTCTCGGTCCGAGTAAATCGGTAACCGTATTTTCATCGGAAACCGGAGTTTCACTGTTCAAAAGGATAAAGGCGTTCTGTAAAGGTAACGGTGGCTCCACTTTCGCTAATGTTCGTTCGATACTTACATTATTCCGCGCTGCTAACATGTTAAAAGCCGTAAAATATAACCGTAACTATTCAAGGCCGCTTTTAAAAAGTTTTAAAAGATGATATTAAAGTGTTTCCTTGCCGCAAGGAGTTAATATTGGAGCTCGTAAATTAATAACAGCACTTTTCGCAAGTTTTTAAGCTTTCCGAACAATGCTAATTGAGCTTATAAAGTTTCTTCCTAAATTTTAAGAAAAGTAAGAGTGGGGGTTAAAAGTTAAAAGCTCGTAATAAACCCCTACTTTTAAGCCCGTAATAAATAGCGTGCGGGCATAATTACGGGGATGGCGCCTTATATTTTTACTCAACGATTATTATTATTATAACTTACATTTACGTTACACTTAAAGTGTTTAACTTATTAACGCAGCCTTTTTATAAGACTAACTCATAAATATTTTTTTACTTATTTTAATCGTTTTATTGTTATAGCTTTTCACTTCTTTTTAAAGTAAATACGCGACATGCGTACGTGTATAACTTATGGCTATCTGGCATTTTATGCGCATTTAACGCGGATGCTTTTTAAGGCTTTTTATATACTTATTTAAAGCCTTATTAATTAAAACGTAAGCTTAATAAGTGTGATATTTATGCCCATTATAAACTGTGAAACTAATGGCAACTTGAAATTAATAACGCCGAGTTAGTAAGTGCATACGTGGTTTGAACGTCGAAACAGACGTCCAGATGCAGTATGGTGCAGTTTCGGTTACCGGGTAGCCGGTCGTAGAACCTGCGCCACCCCGCTTTTTTGGCAGCTATAGGTGGACCTTCGCGGTTGCAATGCATACTTTCATACTGACATGGCCCAGGGGAGACCCAAAGGAAGCCAGGGTCTACTTTTCCGATTGTTTCGTGCAGTGGGAGCCTGTATCCTCGAAGCAAATGCGACATTATATTTGTTCCGTTACTGCATTACTGGGTCGGCCATCCCCGGGCACCTTACGTAGATCCCGACTTGACATGTGAGTAACCAACGTTCCCTGCTCCGGGATCCACCTTTATTTGCTCAAAGACCCCACCCCGTTCGCTGCTGGGCCCTCCCGAATGTGGGAGGCTGCAAGCTTCTGCGGAGTAGCATCTTATTCCCGTCGTTTCTTTTTCCGCCACGGCTGGCATCGCCGAGACTGTTCGATCCGACTAGTCGCATGTCTATCCGAACGTATCCAGATATTACGCCTCTCGTGGGAGCCCATACCCACGCTTCACTCCAACTGCAGAAGCCACAAACCATGACATCCATACCATGCTGCTTGCCGTCTGTGTCCTCGTCTCGATATGGACGACCCCCGCACTGGTATGGCTTCCACCCTGGTGTCATTTACCAACACGTTGACTGGGTCATCCCGGGCTGGATATGACAGGCCATGCACCCTGTCATCATCTGGGAAAGCGTTGAACTAGTCTAGAAGTGTTCGAGGCAAACATCAGCGATCGACTTCCTTCTGTTTATGACTTCTAGTCTATCAGCACTGCCTGAGAGCGTACACTCAATCTCTTCCACCCCTGAGCATCCCTAGTACCTCCCCGGTGGTGCTTCTTTCTCGAACCGCTGTCCAAGCTCGCCATCCCACGGACAGAAGGTGTGTTGATGTATTTCTGCCTACTTTTATGAGACTGACCTAAGTGCTCTTCCAGATTCTGTTTTTGAGAGACCCTATGCCCATGCGATCGGCCAATTCTCAATCTTTGAGCCCGATCACGACCACAAGCTCTTGACAACTGTACTTTTGTTCTGACGTTCCACCTTGCGTACGAATCCGGCCTCGTTGGTTGTTCGATAAAGTGATGATATCCTAGGCGCAGGTGAGTCTTATCCTCGAAGCCACGCCTTTGTGTCAGCGCACAAGCAAGTATGAAAGTCTGCTGTTGTGCTGATATCTAGCACATGATACTCTTTTGGCATGGTGTTTCAATGTTCCCATATTATGAAGTGGTTGGTTACTGACCTGTGCTAGTATTCGGATAGCCGCAACATACATAATATCCCAAGCATGGAGCCTGGGCAACCCGAGACCAAACGTCCACGTCTCTCGACTGGAACGTCATGGTCATCGGATCGCGGTGTCACACCCTGCCGTCGCACATCACCCACCTGTCTCGGGGCCTCATACGCTGCCGCCGTATCAACCTCCACTTCCCTTCTCGCGCCCGCCCGAACCTCCCCTGTCGTCGGCGCACCACCACCACCATCACGACGATCGTCGCCTCCATCATGACCACGAGCCCTATGCGCCGAGCCAGGACCATACACGGCAGCTTCCTCCGTCGCCTGCGCACCAACAACACTTTTCTCCCTACGGTCCGCGGGACCCTTCTGTGAAGCGCGATCCGGGTGAAGAAACGGCCCTTCCGCAACTACGCCGGCCACCCTCCACCGGCAACGGTATCGATAATCTTCCACCACCGCTGCCCCATGGCCATCATCCAAGTCACCAGCATCCAGATGAACCTCGACTACCCATGAGTTTCGATAGCGGACCGCCGATGCTGCACTCGCCGGTAGTATTCCGGCCCTCGCACAACAACTACCATCCTCCGACGCCCGTCGCTCAGCATCATCAATATGACAGCCCCCGTATGTACGGGCCTCTTACTCCCCATGACATGTACCCTAAGTTGGAGATCCAGGCTGCTGCTAGCGCCAAACGGAAAGCGCAACGGGCCTCGCAGGTAAATGCTCTGCCTGGGGTTGGGTGTGAGCTCACTAACCGAGCTCACTAGGCTTGCGACAGTTGTAAACAACTCAAGGCGAAGTGCGACGAGACTAAGCCCTGTAAAAATTGTCGGGAGAAGAACGTTGAATACAAATATTGGGACCCTCCCGCAAAGCCGTAAGTCTAGATATGAACAAATGTGAGCCATCAGCTGACAAGGTCATAGACCGGATAAGGTGACTACCGACATCTTGGAACTTCTCACATCGCTGAGAAAGGAAGTGAGCAGGAGTTTCGCGACGATGAGAAAGATGGAAAGCAGCTTGGCAAGCATGGAGACGTCACACAGGCAGCTGAACCAAGGGGCACCATATATGGAAGCTGAATCAATCGAAGAGGACAACCCGCCAGACTATTGCCAATCCCCCGAGCCCAACAACAGAGCGACGGCAGAACAGGCGCTGTCATCACCCGGAGGGACCGTCGTAGAGCCAGATTTGACTCTCAACCAGGCGCGCGAGACCTTGAGACAAATCAACGATAACGACTTGGAAGCTCAGCCAGGGAGAGCCGTCACTCCGGGCAAGCCTGTCATACCTCAAAACCACACGACGTTGGCTGGCCTGCTCTTGAAATGGCCCGCTATTAGGTCCATGGTGCAGCATTTGCTGGAGGCCGAAAGAATTGAGCACGTGGAGGAATTTCCAATACGTCAGGAACAGCCCAAAGGGCAACTCAGAATCTTTGGGAGAGGTGAGGGATTCGATCAAGACAGTGGTGTCTACGACAAAGTGACACCGCCAGAAAACACAATGGCGGATATTGGAGACGACATTTCGAATCCTTCGTCTCCTGCGCCAAATTCCACTGGCCAGGCATGGGGTCAAGTGGGCGGCCTAACGCCACCTCCCTCGGTTGACTACAGAGGGAGCGTTCTCAACGTGGAAGGGAACCCCGACTGGAAGCCTTCCAAAGTCTGGAAGTACGTGCAAAGCTTCAAGGATAACATCCTCAACATGCACCCTATCTTCATTTACAAGGAGCTTGATGCCATGGTCAGAGTCTTCCTTTGTGACATACCAAAATCAACTGATGTGCGACCCGCCAAAGTCGGCTCGATGGCCAGGTTTCTCACTCAGCCTACGATTCCACCTTCGTCGTTTCCCGAGCCCGTCGCTAAAAGGAAGCGATCGCCGGGTGGAGAAGAGCAGTACCTTGTGGCTTCTTTCCATAAACCTGGACGTCCTTTCCAAACCATACACAATGCTCTTATTCTGCTTGTTCTGGCTTTGGGTAAGATATGTCTCCATAAAGATAGAATTCCTGACCCAGTTTACGACTCGGACCCAATAGCTCACAACTCTTTCTCGGTTCGTAATCGAGTTACGTCGTCACCTCCGCAAGGGTCGCCCCCTATGCTCATGTCACAGTCTCACTCTTCGGGGTTGCCTTCACCTAGGGATAATGAACGCATATACCCGAGTAGGAGAACCTCACTACAAGGAGCGGTCCCCGTGGCAAGAGGGCCGCAATCGTACAAGAGGAACATCGACGTAATCCCTGGCCTCGAGTATTTCGCCCTCGCAACGGAGATAATTGGCAGTCAAGTTGGTGGCGCCACACTGAAGCACGTCCATGTGCATCTCCTTGCTGGCTTATATCACGGGCAACTTGGTCGCGTCATGGATAGTTGGGCCTTTATCACCCTAATAAGCCAAAAGTTGCAAATAATTCTCTGACCGTAAGCCCGGCCCTTATTCCCTACTGGAAGACCCGACTGATCATGAGCAGGAGCCTCGTTCGTCTTTCAGCCAAAGACCCTGGGCTTGGGCACTCCAGAAAGGACAACCAGTTGGCTTTTGCTTTTTGGACCTGCCTGCAATTGGAAAGGTGGGTGCTTTGTCATAGTGCTTTCCCTACCCCGTCTTGTCAGCCGCTGATGTTGTTTCCGTACAGTGATATCTTAGCCGAGCTATCTCTTCCTCAATCCGGGATCCTACAATTCGAAGAACGAATGCCATACCCGGACATAAGTCTCGCCATCGAACAAGGCTTCTCGTCGCATGTAGTCGAGAGCTACTTAGCTCAGCTGTATCTGCGTAAGCAGTTGAACAAGGCGCACCGTCTACTTTACGACCGGGAGAAAGACGACGAAATCGGGCGCATGATTGGAAGTTTGGCGATGGAAGATGACATTAACTCTATTCAAAGTGCCCTCAAGGACGCAAGGCACACTTGGGTGCCCTTTCATTACAGTTGGAATGACGAGGACCCCCCAGCCACCGACATATTATCTGCGCGTCTACGTGCGAAGTACTGGGGATCCCAGGTGATTCTCTACCGGCCATTGCTAAAGAACATGCTGAACAGGGAACCACTGCCTCCATCCACGTGCCGAATCCAGTCACCCCCACCTGATGCATGGGCCTCCTTAGGCTTTGAGATAGGAAGTCTAAATTTGCCCTCGAACGTGGATCCTCGTACCATCAACTATGCTCGCCTGGCTATACAGGCTCTCGTTGAGAGCACACGAGCTTTTCATGGAATGGACCGCACCCAACGCATCATTGTAACCAACGTGTTTGGAACTGCTCATGCGTAAGTCCAAAACTGGTCCGGCGACGCTGTCAAAATGCTAATATCCAAATTCCAGTCAATGGGGAAATCTCCTGACGCTGGCTGCTTGCTACAGAGACAGCATTCTTACCAGGTTTATAGACAAGGAGACTTTGAGAACCCTTTTTTTACGCACTATTGCGTTTTTCCAGACCATTGTCCAGTCCAAAAGCGCACTGGCGGCTGATATGAACATTTTGATTGGCCTAGCTAGAGATCTTGGCTTCATCAAGAATGAGTATGATGCCAGGGGGAACTCGAGCCCTTGAAGCATCACGAGGGGCGGTACCGCCTATGCACCATCCTAGCGACCCCTATAAACGCGGGCCCCGCCATCAATATTCAGGAGACACCAACCACGATGGGTACAATGTGATACTGTAGCAATGTTCTTGTGCCAGCAACTACAGCATGTTCATTGGGGCAATGGCAGTTCTGTCACGGATGACGCCTTGAGCCAGACATTTTCCTTGGGTTACTATTCCATTCTCATGCGCGGGGGAGGTGTTCTAAATGCCAAGTTCGGGCTGGGATTTGTTTCGTCGATCTTGTGTACGCAGGCATTTCCTGGTCAGATTAGCTGTTTGTGGAGTCGCATTGTCCTTCGGTTGACTATTCGCATTCTCTTAACTTCCCTAGACAGTGGCAGACTTGACTTGTTTCTTTAATTACAAGTATAGCAACCTATAGGCCTGGTTATTAATAGTGAAGCTCATAGTATAAAATCGAATCTACACTGTATTAAGGGCGTGCTAATTAGGGAGCAGACCACCACAGAGTTCCGAGGGGGGGGTTTTCCAGATCGACCAGCGCGCCCCTCTACTTCGTCTTGCATCTACCTCATTTACCATTGTCAACTCAGCAACTTGCAACCAAAGCTTGAGCTTTACTGCCTTCCATCTCATTGTCGACAGCGGGCTTCTTTTCTAAGCACTACATATAACCGGTCATCATGAATCTCGACTTCCCGCTACAGCTCCTGGTAGTGCTACACTACACCTATCCCTTGGCAGTTTTTCTCTGCTTTGCTGTTACCTCCATCACCGCGATATGTCTGCCCTCATTGGGAGGTACCATTCGAACCCATACCAAGAAATTTCCCATCTGTTGCTGCCTTTTTCTATTCATCGGTTGCTTTTGCCTCGAAGGGGCACTCGAAGTCGCCGAGGTGATCATATGGCATCACTGGCCTTCAGAGGATGCCATTGTCAGCTTGCTCTTATGCATCCTGGTTTTCGGCATGGAGCTTGATGTCCTCACAGGCGCTTCCAATGTCATATGGTATCGATTTTACGGCTCATGGGTGATTGCTCTTCTTTGCGATCTTGCAAACATCGTACTGCTACTCGCTCAGATCCAAAACCCCTCCACGAATTACGACAGGTTACCGGTTCTCGGCCATGCTTTCCTCGTCGTTGTCCGATGCGTGCTTATGCTTAGCGCCTTCAAGATTTACTTCTCCTGCGAGAGTCAGGTGGAACACAGAGAACGTGACTCAAAACGTTCGCTACTTTCCAACGCAAAGCGTAAGCCGGGCGGCGGTAACACAGTAGCAAACGGCGGTTATGGGGCAAGCTCATCTGCTACGAGCAGCATAGCAGGCAACACAGAGAAGGGGAACTGGCTCGACAGTGTCAGGAAGTTCTCGACCTTATTTCCGTACATTTGGCCTGCCAACAACCGATGCCTGCAGCTTCGAGTCGGGTTGGTAGGCCTCTGCCTGCTAGCCGAAAATACAGTCAACTTTCTCCAACCGCGTCAGTACGGAGCTGTAATAGACTCCTTGAACGGAGCTTCAGCAAAGGACCCATGGGTTCAGGTGGCCGTTTTTACCGGCCTCCAACTTCTATCGTCTGATGCCGGGATTCCTCTGGTGCGGCAGTTCCTTTGGAAGCCTTTGAAGTGCTATTCGGAAGAGGCACTAACAGTCGCGGCATACTCACACATAATGAATCTTTCTTTGGCGTTCCACAATTCCAAGAGCTCATCCGACCTCAACATGGCTCTTCTGAATGCCGGCACGGTCTCGGGCCTGCTCGAAGTGGTCTGTTTTCGAACGCTACCTGCTCTCGTTGACTTGGTGGTTGCTTTTACGTACTTGCTTATCAAGTTTGGGCCATACGAGGGCTTCATCATCGTGGTTACGGTGGCTGCCTTTGTGCAGACAACTTCTCGGAGTATTTCAGTGCTACGAGAGCAAAGGCGTGGACTGGTGGAGAGGTAAGTTCCATTCAGCACATGTTACCATCGAAACATATTCCGCCAAATAGCTAATGCTGTATCAAAGCCATTTAAAGGAGTCCAGTATCCGGCAGTCGGGCATTACCGGGTGGGAGACCATCGTCGCACATAACGGCGTTTCACATCAGAATGCTTGCTATTCTGAGGCTGTCGGGTCCTATATTAGGGCATCTCAGTCAGTCTCTTGGTGGGTGTCTCTCACCAACGCCCTTAGGTCTTTGACCGTACTGGCAGGTCAACTCGCCGGCGCTCTCCTAGTCGTATACCAGGTCACGAATGGGCGAGCTACCGCGGGAGACTTTATTATGCTACTGACCTACTGGTCTCGCTTTACCTCGCCCATCACATTCTTCTCCTCCTTAGGGGGGACGATTAGTCAAATTCTGATGAATACCGAGAAGCTGCTGGAGATCATGCAGGCAGAACCAACAGTGATCGAGAAGCCCGATGCCGAGCCTTTACAACCCGTTGGTGGCCAGGTTGAGCTTGTGAACGTCTATTCTAGCTACGACAGGGTGCGTGATGTCTTGAGAGGGCTTCACCTGTTCGTCCCGCCAGGCACCATTGTCGCTCTTGTTGGTATGAGTGGCGCCGGAAAGTCAACTATCCTAAGACTGCTCAGCCGGTTTTACGACGTCACTAAAGGGGCTGTCAGAATTGATGGACAGGATATCCGAGACGTCACTCTATCTAGGTATGGCTCAGTGTTCTCTCATCTTCTACCAGGTCCTGTTCGTTAGCACTATTCCGCGGGCTGATCGATCCTACGACCTAGCATACATGAATGCATCGGCATAGTCCCGCAAAACCCTTTCCTCTTTGAAGGTACCGTTTTAAGCAACGTCAGATGCGCTCGACTTGCCGCCTCGGACAAGGACGTTTATAACGCTTGCAAGGCAGCCGCTATTCACGATCAGATCTGTAGATTTCCCGACGGTTACGATACGGAAGTTGGGGAACGTGGAGTGTGAGTAACGTTTAAATATTTTATAGCTACAATTGCAGTTTGCTGATATTAACAGGAGACTATCTGGTGGCGAGGTGCAACGTATCGCCATTGCTCGAGCATTCCTCCAGAAACCATCCATCGTGCTTCTTGACGAGGCAACCAGCTCTGTGGATACCGTGACGGAGCAGAAGATCCAAGAAGGACTCCGTGCTCTTTGTCAAGGCCGGACCACCTTCATCGTCGCGTAAGTTTCCTACCACCATATGTTGAGAACTTTCTAATTCTCTGCCTGTATTTAGGCACCGGCTCCCTACAATCAGAAATGCAGACGTTATTTGTGTTATCTCCGACGGGAAGATTAGCGAGCAGGGCAGTCACGAAGAATTGATATGTCGACGTGGCAAGTACTTTGAGCTTTGGTCGACACAGGCTTTCGGACCGGAACAGGCAGAGCCCCATGCATGAGCATCACTACTTGTATAATGCCTTCCTCTATGCATGTCTTAGAAGGGACCATGCATTTCTGAGCGGGTTAGACACATCAGAAGAACGGCTTACCAGGAGCACATTGTCTCGCCTGCATATGTCGTGACCTACTCATGTCCGGGAGCCTTGAACTACACGGCCACTGTATCCTGGCGATCTCTGCAACACAGCTCGATTCCCACACCCCGGACGAAGCACAAGCAGTATACAGGCATGGATGAGCCCGGGGGTAAGCAAACAGTGGTCCTGGGAACAAGCATATGAGTCTTCCGAGGACGGGACGTAGGACAACGCATACAGCCATGTTGATCGTCTTCTCCCCCTTATGATATGTAGAGTGAGCCGAGAAAGGAAGCGGCAGCTTCCCGTCTTCCGCGGATCTGTTCTTCTCAATACCAAGCATGGCCCATCATGAAGCGTGTAGGTGTGTGACATGATGATGGCCCGCACCTCAGCCAGCAACCCAGTACAGGGACGCGTGTGCCAGGCTTCGAGACTGGAAACCGTGCTGGTTGGTGCAGCGGCTTGTGATGGAGACGACTGGCTCTCTAGGCCTCTAGTGCCAACTTCCGTCCAACGGCCTGAGCCAGAGATAGCTGCCCATGCCCCCTGGTCCGGGGATCGGGTACGAATCCGCTGCAAGAGGCCTCGTATCCAAGCCTGCCCCAGGTCGTGTTGTTGTATCAGGAGAAGAAAATGAGCTGGGAAGTAAAAAGCCTCCTTTTGGTCATTGGTTCGTTCCTCACCGCAGCTCCTCCGGTTCTGCCCCCCTTCGTCTACGTACACAGTGTATGCAGATAGTAGTATCACCAGGAGGGCCAAACGTGCAGGCTGCCGACTTGACGCGTAGCATCGGGGTGGGCACATCCGATGGTTAGGAAGGATACATCGGAAGTGACAGGTCTAGCCGAGCCCGATAACACCACACCGTTCGCGGGGGTACATACTGGAAGTAACAGGTACAGTGAGTTGTAGGGTTTGGTTTAGTACATGCCCTTTGAATGTCTTCGGGACAACCGATGGAGGGACAGGGAAATGGACCAGGCTTCATATTCCGCCCATGCAGTGTGATGGCCTGCCCAACCTGTCATATTGACCTCCACCCGGTTCTGATAAAGGCAACCACCAAGGGTCCCTAGGCAGCTTTGTTGAATGTGACACGTAGCAATGGAAATGCACCTACCCAGAAAGTTGGGCTGGCGATGGGAGCTAAAGCAGTTAGCAAGGTGTGTGAAGGCAGTGAAATTCTACAGGGGTAAGTGAGGTTGCAGCCATGTAAGGATAGATGGAGACGTACGTAACAGGGGGCTGCCACTGTGGTATGGGTGAAGACTGGTATTGAACAGGAATTTGTTGCGATTGGTTAATGATACCACATCGAGAATAAGTGCTAACTGAACATGGACTCACCCCAAAGCTACGTGACAATATATCTGCATGTAAATCGAGGCGGCCATTGACAGATCATCGTAGAGGCACACAAACCACACAAACCACACAAACCACACAAACCACACATACCACACATACCACACATTACCACACATACAAATGAACCAGAATCCAATGCTTCCAGATGGAAGGAGGTTCAACTCTAAAGATCATCTCCAACAAACCTGCCTCGAAGCTGGTTTTCCCGCTTCCATAATAAAGTCAAATACAGCAAAGACGAGTACTTATTGGCGATGTGGAACAAAGGGCTGCCCATATCAATGGAGCACGTCTAACTCGGAAGACGGGGTTCTCAAGGTCACGTATTCAATGAGAACACAGACACGACGCCACAACCACCCGATAACAGTCGAAACCAATGTCCCTCAGCACATATCCGGGCCGTCTACCGTTCAAGGCTCCTCTATCCCTACATCGGATAGCCTTGAGCCAGGCGCACCAGCTAAATCGATAGGAATACTTTGGTTTGGAATTCCAGAGGGCAAGAGTACTAAACCTTTGCGATTCACGACTATCGAGTGCCCTCGAGATGCGCACAGAATCATACCAGATTTCCACTTGTTAAATCACAATGACAGCCAACTTTCGAAATGGCAAAAATACATTGGAAAAGGCTTCATAGAACATGCCGGCGATCCAACTCGCAACCCGGTTGTCCACCAGTCGGTCATTACGATTTCAGAGACTGCGCGTGAACTAGAAGCGCTCAGAGTGGAAGCCAGGGTTGAGCTTCGAAATTGGGAATGGGTACAAAGCCATATCATGGATTTAATACCAGAATCCCTTGCGGGAAAGCCGGTCTTGGTCGTCCTTTCAACGACCTTGGACGACGCACCATCAGGCCGGGGATCGATCGAGGAACTCTATGCTGCTCTGCAGCTCAATGTCATGAGACATAGGCAGCTGCGTGTCTATCCGAGCCTGGCGGAGATGCGACAAGACCGCTACAAGATAGGAGACATTCGTGCTCTAGACATCATCGCCCAAGAAAGCCCCGGAGAGTTTGCTTTCAGACCAAAGACCTGCTTTGGTTGCAGCCCTTGCGAGCTTGGAATAGACGTAGATGGACAGAACGTCGTGAAGAGATCCCACAGCTGTGGTGGAAATGGAGTCCGAACCTGTCCAAAGAGCGAAGCCCAGAAGGAGGTAGGCTGTCAGCGAAGCAAAAGACAAAAGACCGGCACATCAGCTCCTATCAAGCCGCTTGGGATCGGCCCGAATAACCCGCTGCTGCTGCATCAGGAGTATATACCGACATTCGAGGAGCTTGGGGAGTTCCGAGTCTTCCTTTGCGCGCCGGACGACCCACAAGAAGACGCTGAAGTTATCGTGGCAGCATTCACCAAGTTTGGGAATGATGGGATGATGATGGCCCGCGAGATAAGGACTAGCGACTTTGTATGGGCAGGGCAAGATAAGAAAGCGCGGTCTGCCAAAGAAACCCAGCTACATCGATTCGCCCAGCACGTGTACTCGCAACTTTGCAAGCGGCATGATGCTCACGAGAGGTACGAGTCATTGAAAATAGGGGTCCGCCTGGATATCGGAGTGTCCGAACTTTCGCCAAATGGTCTATTTTTTGTGAATGAGGTCACCCGCTGGCATTCGGCCGACTTCTTCTCGAGAGATGTTCTTTCGTATCCTTGCCTACGTATCTGCGAGAAGTACGGGGTTTCTTTTGCAACATACATAGCCAAGCTGTGGTGCCAAGCTCGAGATTGATAGCTGGGGAAAATAATGCAATAACCTTCTTTGCTACCTTGAGCCAACTCCATATTGGAGACTTGCAGTGTGCCAAACTACTCTGATGTGGCATGCTATCAAGTATTTCTGGCAAGGCCGATGCCACTGCCCGGCGTCGTCCATGGATGCCATTCCGGGTCAAGACGAGCCCTGTAACTCCCATTACTCCTTATTGTTCATGAATCAAAACCAGGTCGGTAATTGCTAAGAATCCCTTCGAGCTTTATAGTCACGTGCCCTAGTGTGCTAACAGTACACAGTATTCGGATCATAACTCACTAGGAAGTGATAGTAAGGAGAATGAAGACAGGGCATCTGAAGTGGAGTCTGGCGCGCTGAAGGGAGAAAGGCCAGCGGGAATAGGTAGCACGGCGTAAGGCGAGGCTGTTCTCGCCGAAGGTCTCCGGAAGGGACAATGCGGTCAACAAGACATTCCCCTCAGGCCTATTTTACCCACGGGGAACTCTCAATCACCCGAAAAGGCTAGCCTTGTAACTACAAGCATACAACCTCCCATTGGTTACATTTGTCCTGTAGGCAGCCTAAAATGAACAGAGGGGAAGCAGTATGCGGTTCCGAGGTAGGATTCGTAATCACAGAGAGCTGGACCAACGAGTGGGTTTAGGGCGGCAGCGGCGCAAGCCAGTGTGCTTTGCCTCGTTTGCCTCGTTTGCCTCGTTTGCCTTATTTGCCTGGTCCGCAATGGGGCTTAAACGCGGCGAACCGTCCGTGCTGATAAAACCCCCAACCCACCGCCGCCGGATAGTATCGTACAAGCTGAACCTCCAATGCTTCACCGACCTACACTAGCTCCCGTGATCAATACGCACCGTTGACTCGACAGGTACTAAGTTCGTAAAATAATAGAAGGATATAGACATATTCGATCTGCATAATGTGCTCTGGTGTAGTAGGGACAGTGTGTAAAGAAGATGCTTTTTAGTTATAAAAGTTACTGATTCGAAAATCAGTCGCCTGTACAGTCTCAGATATTTGCAGCCGCGATATTGATATATGTTTCCCAATATCTCGCTTGCGACTCTTATTGGTTCCATAATATTCGATCGACTGAGTTTTCAGTGCGTTCATTAGGGTGCACAAGTTAATGTTGGTGGTTCTGGTCTCCCCACGTCAGGCAGATCCCTCAGCCTTGCTGACGCCTATTCTTCCCCACCCACCATTCCGCATCACCACAGTCGACTCCTTCTCCAACACCCATACCCACACCCACAAGCCCGAGGTACGCACTCTCATTCGACATGAACCTTCTTTATCCACGCAAGGTGTCATCCATGGATAACACAATGTGCAATAGGCGATGCTTGTACAGAGTTGTTTATCTCCAACCAATCCGGCTTGTAAGGGTGCCGCGACCGAAGAATTCTGTCGTAAGTACGTCTTGCTTTCTCGGCCGGCTTTGATTTAACATGTGAAATTAGCGCACGCCGGATAACACGGACTCTTTACACAAGCTTCAGGCCCTGACACCATCACTCATCCTAAGACCCCCCTTGGAGAGCTTCCTCGAACACCATGACCACATCCTTAAAAGATGGATAGAGTTAGTCAACGCAATAACTATACCGACAAACATACCCAGTTTGAGCACCATCGTGAAGCAGGCGTTCGGAGCCGTAGGCCAGGCTTTGACAGACCAGGGCCTCTTCGCAAGGCTAGCCAATATCCGCTTACTCAAGCTGTTCGAGTCTCTTGAAAGTTTGATCTAGTCAGAGCGAAAACATAGACTGCATGGCAGGCAGAAAAACACTATCATCGCTATTACCAAAGTGATAGGTTTTGAGGACAACAACTTTCACGACCTCAAGTACAAGAGATAAGACGCATAGCCAAGTGTTGGGACTACCTTGCCGGACCTTCAGCGCTCTGTCTTCTCATATATTCTGACAAGGCGGAGTCTCGTGTGAGGAAGCTGAGCTTCTTCTCGAGGAACAGTGATTTACCACTAAAGACCATCGGTCGTCAAGTCAGAAATAACATCCAACCAAGTGGAGACCTGGGCGGGATCTACAGGCGTAGACCCTGGGTCGATACAAGATTCGGGTAGCATGATAAGAGTGATGACTAAACGAGACTGACCGACAGAATTGCCACTCTGAAACGGAGGAGGCGTCGCTGTTATATTATCGGACCGCGTGCATCCATCAACCGATTAAGCTGTAAGCGGACAGGAACCACCATGAGTGGCACAGACGAAAAACAAACACTATGGACTAAGATTCAGGATGCTTAGAAATTAACTGCATACCTATCTGACACGCTAATGATCATTACCCCGGTACTTTGCAACCGGAAAGACTACTGCCTAGTTCTCTGCTGTTGCTTGGCACATTTCTTATCCAACCCAGTATCCCTCACCTGGGTCTCGACTCGGCTTCAATTGACATTTAATGGTCGTGGGGTGAATCTTGGGGTACCGGCTGCGGTTAAACTTAAGGACCTTCTCCCAATTACCCACTCTTAATGTGTGTTTCTTGCGCAAATTTGTTGAAGCAGAGGATATTGTTCAATCTTTCGGAGGAAGGGCCAGTTGACATCTTGTAGTGACAGTGTCACATCGTACAGTAATAGGGTTCTATGCTACCCTCTAGGCGTAACCTGGAGGTATAATTCTTTGAGGCTAAGGAAACACTGTTGGATTCTGGGCTAAGTTAGCCCATCCATAGTCATCCTTTAAGATCACCATCCCCATTTGTGACTCTGTCACATACGTGGCCAATATAAGGCCACGTATCCTTTCCTTTAGTATCATGGATATATAGGGCCACTCTGGCCGCTCCAGAGTAGCTGGAATTCCTCTCCTTAATAGAACACTTTGAAATCTCACAAACACTGAAAAGAACTAGTCACTGAGTTCCTATTACTGGGAGAGACGACCATCGACTCGATTCGAGAGCCTCCTGATGTGGACTAGAGACGCCCAACTGAGCTTGCATGGATCGATCCGGCCTTGAATGTCGAGCTCCTGGAGGCGCGGGAAGCGGTTCAAGACGGGTAAGAGGCGACTGCATGTCATACCTACGCCATTGCGATCCCAGGGGTTGAGGTGTAGCCTGGAGTACTGAACTGGTGCCAGTGTCACCTTCTCGAGTCGAGATAGAAGTTATAGAAGTTGAGTCATGTATTTGGCGTCCATCTATGGGGCCTCTGCGCTTCTGTCAGGAGGAACTGGCGGTAATACTCGAATCCGTCGTCCCAGCCACCGTCCAGATGATAATCATCCGTCGTGTCACTTAACAGGGGTCGCATCTCCCAAATGTCTCTCCCGCATATAACCCATGATGCGTGGTGCAGTGTCAGTTGCTTCGTGTGCTGGGCGAAGTGTGCGTGCGACTCGAAGAAGGAAATCGGTTTCCGGGGTGAGTCGAACGTGTCTAGTACAGTGGTGCTCCTGGCTTGTATGGGAAGGGCGATGATTGAAAACGACCGACACACAAGTCGAAAGCTACCCAGATCCGCATTTGAATTCAAGGTAGCGGCGATATCGCGGACCAGCTCGAGAGACAGGGTCTCCATCGTGCATAGTGTACCGAGTGGGAAGCCCTTGGACTGCAGTCTGGCGAGCTGAATCTCATCGGCCGTGCTACATATACAGTACTGGCGCCTCCCGCGACACTTGTGAAGCTGACTCGAGTGTAGAATACTGGAGGCTGGTGTCAAGAAACGAAAACCTGTTTCTGTAAAGCTCAGTTGAGAATGGAAGTTACACATAAATCACCCCTCCACGGCCCACCCCTCCACGACCCAATTCCCACCCCCATTCAGATAAAGCCATCTACAACCACCAATTGCTATATTCACATTACGGTTGTGGTGTTCCAACCATAATACAGCTCGCAGAGTCCGATTCTGCTGCTGATTCTTCACCAGGGACCGTAATTGGCCCGTCAGCAACCGGTTCATCTGCAGCAGAGTCCCTGAAGACCTTCCGGTTCCTTAGCTCCATCTTAGCCTTACGTATACCAGCCATGGTTACAAACCGCTCCCCGGGTGTTGGTTTCACTGCCTTTCGAGTATTGTTAGCCTTTTTAGCCACCTTGGCCTCAAGCAGCTCGTTTTTAGCCTTTAAATTTGCGATAGTCGCGGCCTGGTCATCCATGGCCTTGCTAACCTTACGCACCAGCAGGCGACTCGAGGGTCCCCTGAACGTATAATCCACCTCTCTCAGCTTTTTCGCACTCTCCCATAAAGCCCCGCCTCCAGAGGGCGTCTTGATGGGGTTCTTAGTCACTATCTCGAGGAAATCTGGTGTTTTTTCCCTCTTGGAAGCCTATGATGCCTCCGCCGCGACCTAGCTACCCCCTGGTCCTCGAGGATCACATATTTGGACCTCAACGCCTCCTGACGGTTGCGCGGCCATAACCCAGCCTTTTTCCAGGCGATTTTGATGTTGATCTGGGTCATCGCGTGCTTGCGGGCGCTCTCATAGCACTCTAAAACCTCCTCTTTAGACGGCTTCAGTCCCAAGCGGCCACTGGGCGTCTCCAAGAGCCGCGATTTCAGCTTTTTCTTCACCAAATTGAAGACTCCCACACCCAACACCTGGACCACATGAGAACAGTGTGGCTCGTAGAAGATCAACCACACTTTGTTCAGCAGGCAGGCCGATAAAAACTGGACATTCGTGTGAGAATCGTGGCCATCACACACTAGGACCCACCATGTGTTGCCGTGAGCCTCGCGAACGTGAGGGACGAAGATGTGCAGTAGCCAATCCAACCCTATAGGGTTCGAGGTGCACCCATTAGGCGACGTAATGAAGCGCCAGTTATTGAATTTGCCCTCCATTTGGTTATTAAACCACTGCGCTTGCACATTCACCCCCTTGAGGATCACCAGGGGCGGGAGGGCATCTCCAGATCCGTTCACACACTCCAGGGCAGTTATCCATTCACCCTGCTCGACCCCTTTCTTCATAGCCACGTTCCCAGAGGCTTCGGAGACCACCCAATGGGAGCCCC